GCATTCCTGACTGTGCAGGCGGTCCTTCATAATGCTTCTTTATGGATTGGACTCTCCAGTCAAGACGTAAGTTTTCAGTCCCAACTGCAAGGATTTGACATTTTTTTACTGCTCACGACAGCCCTCATTTAAGACTAGAAGAAAGGACATCATAAAACCTTACTATAGTGAATGAATTTTGTAAAGTACATCATTTTCAGTGGCAGTCGTTTCTCCACTGCTGAAAGATCTGGTGCTTTATTGTTTAGATTAAGTAAAAGTTCTAGTGGACATATTTAGATGAGCACTTCTTTTTATTTACTCCAGTGAAAGACTGAGCTGGAATCAGGAACAGCCATGTCTCTTCAGCCAACGAAGGAAGGAATTAAAAAATCAGATGAGGTCGTGTATGTAGAAGCACTATGGATGGTGTTGAAGCGTCCTTTTTATCCCTTTCAGAATTAGCAGAGTGAAATTAGGTCACTCTAAGAAAGGATTAGAAAAGTGTTTTGACACATCTCTCAAGTCCTGATCCTGGATAGATGTCGTGGGTACCGCTCATTCATTTCATAGCCTAGCAAGGAATGCTAGTCTGTTAATTCCCAACACTAAACTACGTACATGAAGCACAAATGGGAATATTTATACTACTGAAATTTTTGGTTATAATTAATAAGGATTTTTAAAATAAAGCTGTAGTATTTCTCTCAGCATTATAGGCCATTTTTGCCTCTTTTCTAGGCCTTGTATGTAATACTTCTGCCCACTGAAATTTATTGAAGGGTAGAATATAAGGCTGTTGTATAAGGCTGCAAGCATCGTACACTACACAGGGGTTGCCATTTACAAAGATTGTAATGTGACTTTTGCCCCTTGCATCTGTATGGTGCGTGATTGATGAAGCCCTAGTTAGGTAAATGTCGCCTGGACCAGTATTCCTGATCCACTCTCAGAGAGAAGGTAATTGGCAGAGTAGGAGAGAGGAATCCATTGCATTATGAAGCAAACCTAAGTTATGTGTACCTTAGGATAACCCTCAATATACCAAGATGGTTTTAGGGCTGCATGGAGAAAATGTGATTGAAGACAATTTAGTCCTAGCACAAACCAAGAGCTAAACTGGAATACAAATTCAGAAGTAAACATTATTTTTGAAAAACTTTGTATTCCTTTGGATTCATCACCAGCAGTTACCAGAAGCTCAATTAAAAGAAGTAATATTTAGAAATTGCCTGAAGAATAGTTTCTCCAAGACTCTGGATATTTTAAAATTTACCCACAAATAAAGCCACATCATCAGCTGCTTCCCCAGACCTCACAGTATCAGTTTCTTCATAACATTGCTTTTTTACTTCCTCCTCGGTGTTTGGTATCACGTGAAACCCATCATTGTGTCTCTCGCGAGCATAGGAATGTTATTATATTTTGTTAAACCTTTTGAAACAAAAAAATATTGTCACTGTAGAAAATTTGTAGTTATAGTAAATTGAAAGAAAAATATTTAAATCATATGTAATCTCAGTACCTAGTGATAAATGTGGTTTTATCATTGGGTTATATTCTTCAAGTTATTTTTTTATATACAAGTATTTATTTTTTAAGACAATTGAATCCATACTGTTTAGTAGCTTTTTCTCCTCACTTAATGATTTGGGTCTTGTTTCTTATCCTATTTTCAATCTTCACCTGTTTCTCTTTTTCCTTTCACTCTTTAAAAGATTCTATGTAGTTGTTTATTATGTATTTGCATAAGCTTTCTTAAATTTATGGAACAAATAAATAAAACTTGACATTGAAAACAATGTGAAGATATAGAAAGATTTTAAACATGGTAGCAACAATATCAAATTTTTACTTAAGAAAAACTACTTGGCAGAAGGTGGGGGAAGTAGTGAACGATCTAGAGGTAGGAGACCAGTTATAGTTTCTTGTAGAAGAAATTCATGCAGGAAATGATGTTGGCTTTAATGAAGACATATTTACAATGTCTGCAGTGCAGCAGTTCTGGGTTAAATAAATCTAGAGTATGACTGTGGCAGTGGGTCACTCAAGTACAGAGAAGTGAAAGTATGTAGAAGTAGAGGAAGTCAAGAAGGCTTGGGAACTGGGTGAGTCACCAGCACGGGCACAGACATTCCTAAATCAGTGGTAGGACCAGGGGGCAGAGCAAGCATGGCACATCTCCTTAGTGAATGTCAGGGGGGAGCAAGGGGTCCAGATTCTCACTGAGTGTCAGAAAAAGGAAGGGAATCTGGGAGTTTGCAATGATAAGAAGGACATAAACCTCAAAGGAAATGACTGAAAGATAAAATTACTGACTACCCCATTCTCATAGCCCTCTGGTATTTGAAAAACAAACAGCCTTGCCTTTCAGGCGCTGAAAGTAAATTATTCTCTTGGAAAGACGGATGTTACTTAAGGTCAAAAATTTAGTAAAAGGGTACATATAGTCTTAATAAAGAGATTTAGTATTTAGTGGGGATAGAAGGTGTGGGACGATTTATCTACGAGGGATACAAATTCCAAAGGCCCAGGGACCCAGATTAGCTGGGAATATAGCAAGGGGACAGAATCCAGGCCACATCTGAGGCCATATTACCTGGGGATTAAAGAGTCACAAGGTTACAACTGGAATGCTGGTGGAGAACAAATCAGAATGAAACACTGGTGGTATTGAGACTTGACCATGTTTGCTATTTATGGTCCACTAAGGAGACTGTATGGAGCCTTTTCCCAATATTCCAATAAACCAGTGATGCAAAATTGCCTTGAACCTCAGGAAAGCTTAGCTCCGTGGGTCATTGCGTGGGGCCTGGTGCTCTGACAGCACCGTGGAGACGCTCAGACAGGGCCATGCCCTACAATACGTCTTCTAGACTTCCGTACCTGCTCTGTAAAGCATCTCCCAAGATAAGTGGGTGATCAGGACCTTGTCAGGATATAAAGACAGATATTCACAGACTTTTTGAATGTACAATAAAATACAGTGAATAAGGACGCTCTCCCTAAAGACAAGAGTGAAAACAGTGGTGTGAGATCCATGAGGTATGAAGGGTTAAGAAGAAGGGAGCTAACATTTATGTAGTTTTTTTGTATAAAAGCCAGTCACTGAGTTATGTGTTTTATACATGTTATCCCGTTAATTCCAGCCATGAGGTTAAGTGTCACATCCATTTAATAGATGAGGGGATAAAAACTTGGCGAGGTAAACTCACAATCAAAAACTAATAAGTGACCGAACCAGAATTCAAAAACTGGGTATGCTTAGCTCTGAAGCCCATATTCTTTCTTTCTTTCCTTTCTTTTTCCTTTTTTTTTAAGCCCATGCTCTTTCCACAACTATATATCGTCTCTATCGGGGCTTATGGTGGTCTTCATTTCATTTTAGCTTTCTGATTGCAACAACCCACAGTGCCAATTATGTTTGAGGCAGCGAAGCATTATAATTCAGACCATGGACGCTAGGGCCTAATGGCCTGGATTAGAATCCCGGCACTGCAGTTTGTATTCTTTGTAACCTTTGTGCATGTTATATGCCTTCAGTTTCCTTATCTGTACAATGGCTATAATAATAGTATTTATCTCATATGGTTGTTATTACTATTAAATAAGTTAATATTTATGAGGCACTTAGAACAGTGCCCGGCACACAGTAAGTGCTGTGTAAGTGTGTTAAATATAAGTTAAAATTAAAAGTCATTAGATTGACAATGAGGGCCAACGTAATACAAAAAGGATAACGTGAGGTATTGCCACTTGAAATGCATTTCTGTCCCTTGCAGGATGAACTCAACTTCGGTTGGTCAGATGGGAAATATCTTCAATTTACTCGCTGGGCTGAAAGTAATGAGCAGCTTGAGGACTGTGTATTATTAGACACTGATGGATTCTGGAAAACATCTGATTGCGATGCTAATCAACCGGGTGCTATTTGCTACTATCCAGGAAGTATGCTAAATGCAAATATTTTAATTCTTAAATTACTATCAGTCTGATGAGTAGTGAAATTTTGGGGGAGTGGTTTTCTCAAATTTGGTTTTTGAAATTAAAGAAATGATAATCATGTCCTTTTTACAACAAAATTTATTGTGAAAATTAGTATTTGAGTAGAATTATTATATATTAAATATTTTGTCATTAATTTGTTATTTTAGACATGTTTATCTTTGTCAGTGCATACTGATAATTGACTTTTTAGTTTGAAGTCCCCATTAGCCTCATTTTGCGTATATTTTGTGTTTACATTCTTATAGAAAACTTATTATTTGTGAGAATCCTTTTATAATTCTTAACAACTAAAATTTCTTCTATGAGTCACTGTTAAGTTCCATTCGGTTGTAACAGCAACCAGCTCAAGCTTGCTTAAGCCAAAAAGGAAATTTAGATCTTCAAAACTGGGGATAGGGCTAAGCTTCACGTGGAATAGGAATCAGAAACTGAATGGGAATCAGGACCCAAGAGATATTGTCTTCTACTCATCCTTTCAGTTTCTCTCGATGGATCTGCCTTCTTCTCTTTATATACTTTCTGCTTCTCTCTGCACATGGTAAAACATGGCAGCTCTGCAGCTTTCAATTATAACCACAACTGGAGATGAATTGACTGTCTCTGAATTCCATTTTTCAGCTTCTTAGAGAGAATCTGAAAGCCTCAGCTTGAGTCAAATATGCATACTCTAGTTCA